AGTAAAGATTTGCAAAGTAGGTATGAATGATCTTGTAAATTTCTATGTAATCTGTAGTAATTTCATTGTTTTGATTCCTTATTGCATGAATTTGAGTTCTTTCCTTCCTTTTCTTGATAAGGTTAGCTAGTGGTTTATCAATTTTATTTATTCTTTCAAAGGACCAGCTCTTTGATTTGATTATTTTTTGGAGGGTTTTCTTTGTCTCAGTTGCATTTATTTCTACCCTAATCTTTACAATCTCCTCCCTTCTTTGGGCTTTGGGCCTGACTTGTTCTTCTTTTTCTAAAGGTTTGAGATGTAGCATTAGGCTACTTATTTGTTCTCTTTCTGTTTCCCTTATGTGTGAATTCACTGCTATAAATTTACCTCTGAGGACTGCTTTCATTGCATCCTATAGATTTTGGTAAGTTGTATTTATATGTTCATTTGTTTGTAGGTATTTTTTAATTTCCACTTGAATTTCCTCTGTGACCCCTTGGTTGTTTAGGAGGTTGTTGTTTAATTTCCAAGTGTTGATGGAGTTTTTTGGAGTTCCTTTTGTCGTTAATTTCCAATTTCATTGCACTGTGTTCAGATAATATGCATGGGATAATTTCAGTTCTTTTGCATCTCAGAAGGTATGCTGTATGGGCTAGGATGTGGTCTATTTTAGGGAAAGTCCCATGTGCTACTGAGAAAAATGTGTATTCTGATGTTGTGGGGTGAAACATTTTGTATACATCTACTAAGTCCATTTGTTCACATCTTTGGTTCAGCTCTGTTATTTCCTTGCTGATTTTTTGTCCACCTGACCTATCTCTTCGTGTCAATGGGGTATTTATGTCCCCTGTTATAATACTGTCATTAATTATATGGGTTTTCATGCCTGTTAATATTTGTCTTGTATAATTTGGACCTCCAGTAGTTGGTGCATACATGTTTATGATTGTTATCTCATCCTCTTGCAGTTTTCCCCTGACTAGTATGTAATGACCTTCTTTATCTCTTTTGATTGTTGTCTGTTTGCAGTTTACATTTTCTGCAAACAGAATAGCTATACCTGCTGTTTTCTGGGTTCTTGTTGCATGGATGATTGTTTTCCATCCTTTGACTTTTAGTCTATGATTTCCTTTTGAGTCAAATATGTTTCCTGTATCCAGCAGATCATTCAATTTTGCTTTTTAATCCACTCTTCAACTCTGTTTCTTTTGACTGGAGAATTGAACGCATTTACATTTATAGTTATAATCTATATGTGTTGATTTATCGTTGTCATATTATTTACTTGTGTTAGTGTCCTACTTTTCCTACCTGTTTATTTGCTTGCTCTTCTTGACCTTTCATTTCTAGTGTTGTTCTTGAAATTGCGATCAGATTTTTCTCTGTCTAGAATATGTTTTAGTACTCTTTGTAATTCTGGCTTGGCACTCATGAAGTTCTTTAGTTGTTTTTTTTTGTGGAAATATTTTATTTCTCCATTGAAGTTGAGGGAAAGTTGGGCAGGGTACATCACTCTTGGTTGGAAGCTGTTCTGTCTCAGGACCTGTAATACTTCGCTCCAAGCTCGTCTGGATTGGATGGTTTGTGTTGAGAAGTCTGCCGTGATTCTCATGGGCTTTCCTTTATAGGTAATCTGTTTCTTTTCTTTAGCCACTTTTAATATTCTGTTCTTTTGCTGGAGATCTGGGAACTTAACTATTATATGTCTGGGTGTAGTTTTATTTTGGTTGTGGTTGTTTGAAGTTCTATGTGCCTCATTTCCTATATATCAGGTTCGGTTCCCATACTTGGGACATTTTCTGCTATTATTTTGTGAATATTTTTTTTATGTCACTTGTGGTGCCTCCTGTTTTGTTGACTCCTATAAGTCGTACGTTATTCCTCTTTGCCTTGTCTTGCAGCTGTTGAGTTGAGTTTTCCCTTATCCTTGTTGATTTTACGCAATCCTTACTTTCATGTGTGCTAGCTGTGATGCTGTCTTCCAAGTCTGAGATTCTATCTTCAGTTTTATTCAAGCTGTTTTGACAGTTTTCAATGGAAGCTTTGTTTTCATGGAAATCTCTCTGAATCTGGTTCATGCGTTCTAAGTGCTTTGTGTATTTTTCATGTAATGCTTCCATCCATTGACTTTGCTATTCTATTTTCTCATATGTTTCTTCTGCAGACTTTTTGAGCAGTTCTTTCATTATTATTGTCATTTCATTGTTTGCCTGAGAGATTATTTCTGATCTCATCTCTTCTATGGCCTTATGGAGTTGTTTCTTTACTTCCACTGCAATCATTTCAGCTATTTCAGGCATGTGTTTACCAAGTTCTCCTATGTCGATGTCTGCCTGGCTTGTTGTGAGTGGGGTGGAGTTCTGGGATTGTGTTTTAGTCTTTCGTTTTGTCATGTTTGCTACCGAATGCAGAAAGCTCAGTTTCCCTGTTCAGTGACTGCACAGTAAAGGCCACTAGTGTTCCTAGTTTTTCTGTTGGTCATGTTTGCCTCTCAGTGACCCTTGAGAAGCACTATTTTATCTCAGATTTTCCAGCAGTTATTGATTTGTATGTCATTATTCCAGGTCTCAGACATGGGCATTGGTGTCAGCTGATGGCAGACCATCTGATCCAGCATCCCCTTACACTTCAGGGCACATGCATGGCCCAGACTCAGGCTGCACTGGTGTGATAATCGCGGTCCAGTGGACCTATGTCCCCAGGCATTTCAGGGTACAGGCAAAGGCCAGACACAAACTCCAGGGTTGACAGCTTGTTAACCCCCTGATTCTGTGTCTCCAGTCAGTTCAGAACACATACAGGAACCAGATGCAGGCCATTTGGACAGCAGTCACAGACTGCCTGTGCCTGCGCCCCCCTAGGGGATCCTGGTGCAAGTAAAGCAAGGACTCAAACCACTGGACCAACAGCTTTTGGAACACTCGCTCACTCAGCACAGGGTGCATGCAGGGAGGTGCCACACGTGCACCCTGGTGAAAGCAATCCCTGGGGATTCTGAGTGAGGACCTCCTGTCTGGGTCTCTCCATGAATTTCAGCCGGGAACCGTGGCAGTGTGAGTAAAGCATGGACTCAAATCACGGTACCAGCAGCTCTTAGATCACTCACTCACACTGTGCAGAGTGCTCTCAGGGAGATGTCACAAGTGCACTCCAGCTAAAGCAGTTCCTGAGGCCTCTGAGTGAGATCCTCCTGTCTGTCGTGAGTGCAGGTATGGCAGAGACTCAGTCTGTAATGGCAACGAGGTCCTGGGTCATCCGCTCTGCCCCCAGGAAGTAGATCTGAAGTACCTGGCTCTCTCTGTGAGTTTCAGCTGGGTTCTGTGGCTTTGGGAGTAAAGCCCGGACTTGAACTGCGGGATCAACAGCTCTTGAAGCACTTGGTCACTCGGCACACAGGGCGTGCAGGGAGGGCCACAGACACGCCCCAGCTAGAGCTGTCTGTTGTGCTTCTGAGTGAGGACCTCCTGTCTGCTGCGGGTGTGCAGAGGGCAGAGACTCAGTCTGTAATGACAGCGGGGTCCTGGGTCACCCACTCTTCCCCGAAGGATGTAGATGGGAAATACCTGGCTCTCTCCACGAGTTTCAGCTGGGAACTGTGGTGGCTAGAGTGAAGCCTGGACTCGAGCCGCAGGACCAGCACCTCTTGGAGCACTCACTCACTTGGTGCAGGGCACACGCAGGGCAATTGGTTTAATAATAGATCACAACATTAGTTTAAGCTGAATAGCATAATAATTTAAAATGGTTGTTTTTTCAGTAAGGATTGAGCCCAGTCTTCACACCAAGCTACGTCCCTAACCCTTAAAAAAATTGTTTTAAATATCTTAAAAGGGTGTCCTAAGTCCCTAAGTTTTCCAATCTGGGGTCAAACTCATATCCCTTCTACCTTAGCCTTCCAAAGTGCTGAGATTATGGGCACACGCCTCTGCACTTGGCTAGTTACTTTAAAATACTCCGATGCTGGTGTGTGCTTATGTGATGAACTGAAGATCATATAGTGTTGTATACTCAAGGAAGGAATTCAAGGTAGGACAGGGACAAAAGTTGATGTCTTTGGGGGATTTAGATAGAGGAGATGGTCCCATTCTTCCCTGTGCCTGCCTCTGCTCTGTAACTGGATCATGTTCACACCTAACATTAAAGTGCTATCCTGACCACCTTTGTATCATAATAATGTAGTTGGCTGCCATACGGCTCTTGAGGCCTAAAATATTTACCATCTGGCTGTTCTTTGAAAATGTTGCTGACTCTTATTCTAGGGTATTAATACTCAGAAGAATCATTCTTTATAAGCTGTTTCATGAGGAATAGTTTGCTACTAGATCCTACCTTCACCCTTGATGTGGGCACAGTATCTTTTCAGGCCACTCTCAGGTTGCCTGCCCCAAACTGTCTGGCATTATAGTGTTTCAGAATGGATTCCCCAAAAGACACCCAGAGGCAAGGATCTGTGTGCAAAATCTCATGGTTCTCTGGCTCTGTACCTGTTGGGGGAGGGTGTGTGTGTGAAGGGAACAGGACTGAATACAGGGAGAAGCCGAATCATGGTGTGGTTGTATGGAAGGTCCCAGCCCATCCGATGGGAGCTGGGGAGCTGGGGTGGCCTTCAAGCATTATCCTGACCTGGGGACAGAATGCTGGGTTGGTCTTCAAACCCCACAGTGACAGTCACTGGATACTGGCAGTGCCAGCAGGGATGCATGACCTTGGACAAAGCAGATCTCTACTCAGGTCATTTCCAGAGAAGCAGCTCATCTCCCAGAGCCTTCAGCCACCATAAGGCTGGGGGAACACCAGCCTTTGTGCCTGGCAGATCTGGGGCACTGTAGCATCTCCTACATCCATCAGCCTCTCTGGGCCTCATGTTCTTCATTTGTGTGAGTTTCATCGTGGCTGATTTCTGTTTAGAAGACTGGGTCCTGGTTTCAGATGCCCACTGCTCCTCCCTAGGGTGAGAATGTACCTATGTGACAAAACAAGACCATGTGCTTGCTAATGCCTGATTTACTTGCTTGCAGCATGCCAGGCTTGCTTTCACAAACACTGCTTCCAGTCCTCAGGCTGCCCACGGTGTGCACGGATCACAGCTCGGAGAAGACTTCTGCAAGGTTTGCCGTTGACAGCTACATGATATTCAACAGTCTTGTGGAAAAGACTGTTAAACATGTCTTATGTAATAGCCATTTGTATCTTATTATCAGTCATATTGCTTTAGGCACCAAGATTCTCCTCATTTTATATATTTGATGTTTTAGAAGAATGCAGTCTTTGTTATTAAGCAGAGTTGTTACTAATGGTGTTGTTTACAAATGTTTGACATTTTTGCTCCTATTGAGTTTTATAAAAATAAACTTGTTTTTGATACTTTTAAAATTTCATTGGAATGGTTGTGTTTGGCTAATTTCTGAGCCCTCTCCTTTTTTTATCAATTGTAACTGATGAGATGAATTACTCAGTTCTTCTTTCTTTAAAGCTTGTCTGTTGAAACTGATAATTTCAGTGAACAGAAATGTAACTAAAGATCTGTTTCATCGGGCTTTTCTTTCTTTCAGGAAACAGACTACTTAAATACTATTTGTGATTTTGTCAGCCATACACATTTATTCGAGAATTAGCATAATGAGCACATATTACTTCTGCAGTTACATCTATTTCAATATGAATTTGTCTCCACAGGACATAGAGATCCAGTAGAGGTGTAATTTGAAGTTGATGTCTCTAGACGGCACTATTTCAGGTGGCACACACCAGCCTGCATTTGTCATCACTATTTCACATTAGTTCTTGACTCAAGGGAGGCAGAGGTGAATAGAACTTCACTTTCATAGATATAAAAAGAATAACTGAATGTTAGTTATTTGAAGACTAAAGTAAATTGGGACAAAATATTCTTAATGAACAATGTGGTCCTAGTAATAACACTAGGATTGTCAACATCAGTTAATAAAATTAGATGAGCTGGATGTGGTGGCACATGCCTGTAATCTCAGCACTCAGGAGGCTGAGGCAGGAGGATTGCAAGTTCGAGGCCCACCTGAACTACATAGAAAATTCAAGGCAAACTAAACTACACAGTGAGACTCAGTCTCAAAAAAAACAAAAAAAAATTATGATACTAAAGTCAGGGGAGTCACAAAACTTCTGTAAATTCATTTTGCCTAATGCTTCTCATATTTATATGCCTTCCTGAAATATGTGACTTAGCCTATTTTCCTTTAGCTTTCTATATCCTCTCCCCCACTTAAGAAAGGGATGCAACCCCATGTGCCTTACTGGGACATTTGTAGACTGAATGGTTTTCAGTGTAGGACTTGGATGTCGTGTTCCCTGGTACACATGTGCCCACTACATCTGCTCTAACTGAGCTTTTCAGCCTGCACAAGCTGGCAGCAATGTGGTAAAGATTGTCCCCCGTTATTTGAGCACAATGAAAGAAATGAAAGTCTTTCATTAATCTGGTGTCTTCACTCTGTTAGTTGTTTTCCTGTCTCTGATGCTTCTGACAAAATGTTCACTCTCAGTATGTAATCCAGGTCTCTCTTTAATAGAATTCAGCACATAGGATAAATACAATCAAATTTCAAACACCCATAGCTTATACTTTCTCTTAGAAATCAAGGGTCATAGTGTCTTGGTTACTTTTCTCTCATTGCTGAGACAAAATACCCAACGCCCAAAATGAAGGAAGGAAAGTTCTATTTGACTCACAGTTTGTAGAGGTTTCAGTCCATACTTGGCTGGCTCCGAGGCAGAAAGTAGTAAAGCAACAAGAGCAAAGAGGGGAATGGCAGCCAAACAGCAAAGCAGCCAGAGCAAAAGGGAGGAATGGCGGCAAGCAGCTTCTTTCCCTGCCTTACATTGCAAACAGGCTACCCCCACCTAAAGGGCATGTAGCTGTCACATAATTTCCATGCCCTCCTCTTCTACAGGCTCAGGATGTATACAAAGTAAGCACCCTGGCTTCCTGCTGAGTCACTTAGCCAAACCTCTAGACTCCCCAGGTTGACACAATGCATAAACCATAACACATAGTTACCTCACAGTGAGTGAGGTAAGAGGGGGCCACTTACGTAGGGACAGGTAGCAGGCTCAGGCAGATACTTGAACTAGTGAAAGAAAAATGTGTCCTTGGCTAGAATGTTAGGGTTAATATCTTCCACCTTTTGTCCTTTCAGCTGGGAGAGCTGCCTGTACATGTATGCAGATGCAGAAGAGCTGGTTATCTCTGATGGTGAAGCTGTCAGTTGTGTTTGCAGTCTGCCCATGATGGCATCACTCAAAAAATAGCTATTTTAGTTTCTAGTGAAGTGAAAAAGAGAACCATGATTTCCATTTTCAAACCAGTTGAATTATTTAAAAATAGAGCCTTAAATATTAGTTTTAAGGGAATGAGCTGATAAAAATGTGGACAATTGAAACAGTGTGAATCTCTGCCTTCTTTAGTGATGAGCTCAAAAAGGCTCATGGCTGAGTGGTTTCCTGATGTGCTTCCTGGCTAACTGGCTGATGTTAGGTAGGCTCACAGGCTAGATCTGGGGGCAAGGAAAGAAGTCCCAAACCCCTCCTGACATGAACACAATGTTCCATCCAGTGAGAAGAAGCTGGGGTGCATCTGATTACCCATACTGTCATCCAGAGTCCTGGGTCAGCAGACCAGAGTTCTGCCTACTTTTGAGAACTTTCCTGCAGGCTCTCCAAGCAGCGGTGGAGAAGCTTCTAGTTGCTCTTATGAAACTACCTCCTTCTGACACTGCTACCCCTATTACCTTGTGCTGGTGCTCAATCCCATTTGCTTTAATCAACTCCTACTCATAGGTCATGTATTGAGCACATACTGTTGCCAGACACAGAAAGAGGCCTTTGGGGAAGGGCTGACATAGCCTACATGTACACAGATTGGCACCTTCCCTTGTACTCCATTCATTATAAACCTCAACAGTATATGCCTTATCTCCAGAGGCTCTGAGGAATGGCTTCTCTATGAATATCCCACAGAAAATGGTCTATTAGTTCCTGATGTACTGTGTTTTATCAAGTTAGTGGATACTGGCTTCCATTAGCTACAGGCCTGTAAGAGAACCAGCAAAGAGGTGATTAAAATCTGTAGTGTGTTCACTGACATCTGGCTCTCACATGCCACTCCCCCTGCTGGTAGGTGGCCAGTGTGGCTGCAGGGTGGCCTGTGAAATACAAGTGGAAGGGCCATGCATTACTTCCAGTGTGGCCTTGCATCCTGCTTGATCTTCCACACTCTCATTTCTCTCTGCCTGTCAGGAAAGGAAGGATGGTGTGAGTGCAGCAACATGGTGAAAAAAGCCCAGCTCCCTGGATGGTTATTCAGAAAAGTGGCACCAGCACAAGACTTCTTTGGATGAGGTCATGGGCTGGGTGCCTGTCCATGCAATGTGAGCTAGCACACCGTGACTAACACAGAAGTCCTAATTCCTGCTGTTCAGAGAAGGTGAGGCTGGGGTAGGTTTGCCATGGTTCAGACAAGCTACTACCACAGAGTAGTGGGGAAGAGATGGGTATGAACAACAGCAATCCATTTCGCACAGTTCTGGAGGCGGGAGGTAGATGGTTAAAGCAGACTCAGTGTCTGGGAAGGGTCTGCTTCCTGGCTTAGAGGTGGTGACTTCTCACCATTTCCGCACAGAGTGGAGGAAAAAAGAACTCTGCTGGGTCTGTTTTTTTTTTAAACAAACAAAAAACAACAACAAAGATAAAAGCAAAACAAAACAAAAGCAATAAAAAGGATACAGAATTTCAAAATAAGATGATAGGAAATTAACAGTGGTTGTTATATTACATATTGTTATCTTCAAGAAAGTTGCTCAGGGGCTGGGGATTTAGCTCAGCGGCAAAGCACCTGCCTGGCAAGCGCAAGATCGTGAGTTCGGTTCCTGGTACCGGAGAAAAACCAAAAAATAAATAAATAAATAAAAAGAAAGTTGCTCAGATTACCAAATGTAAGAATGCAAGATTGATAAAACAGTTAAACATTAACTGTTCCTTTCAATAAACCACTAGAAATCAGTAGTACAATTATCTTAGGTATCTCGTGTGTGTGTGTGTGTGTGTGTGTGTGTGTGTGTGTGTATCCCCTCCTTTTCTCCTTTCCTCCATCCCAGTTGTTCTTTCCTTTTAAAAACAGGTAAACATAACTATACAGAGCTGTTCCCAGTCCTCATCACAGCCCAGGAAGTTTGTATTTGTAATCCCATGGAAAGTTATTGGAATTCTAGCAAGTTAATTCCAATCTACCACTTCCAGCGCAATCCATGATGAGAATAAAGACACTAAGGCATATTTGTAGTTATGGGGAGCCAAAGGGTTCTAAGTCCAGCCACAGTGATGGCCATCTGGAACAAAGGCCTCGACCCAAAGCCAAACCCAGGTTTTATTCATTCATGAAGAAGAGAGTGGCTTGAGAATGAGAGATTGTGCAAACAGTGGGAAGTAGGTGAGTGCCATGAGCTGGACTGGGGAGGAGGCCTGCAATCATGTCTGCCATACACAGAGTGAAGGATATGCAGAGAGAGTAATCTGCATAACACAACTGAGATAGTATCTAATGTTTTGGGGTTGGTGCTTCAGCTCTGATGTGTAATGTTTGAAGCCCCAGGAAGTCATAGCCTCTACCCCAAGGCTTGCTCCCCACTGACAGCGTGGAGCATTGGCTCATACATCCCAACTCACCCCATCCAGGCTCTCTTGAGTGAGCAACAAGGAGTCCAGGGAAACACACCTGCCATCTCCAAAGACTACTATCCACACCTCAGCTAGACCAGTATGCATTGCTTAAAGCCAACTGAAGAGATAAGGAAAAGGTCCTAGCCAGCTCTGTACATATCAATACATGGAAATAGGGTCAAGATCAGCCAAAATGGAGGCAATTTCTCCTCTTTCAGGGACAGTCACCTAGGTGGTCCTTCACACATAACAATGAAACCAAGTTTCAAAATAAGCTATTAGGACATTTACAACAGTTGATACACTGTATACTGTCATCTTCCTAGTAGTTATTCAGAGTAGAAGATATATGTATGCTATCTTGTCTATATAGTATTAGCACAATACTTTCTTTTTAATTAACTAAGAGAAATTAGCTATATAACAATTTTAACTATCTTGTATATACATATTTCTTTCCTTTTTGCTTTCTTTATTTCCTTTTTCCCCATCCCAGCTTGTCTTTTCTTTTGAACAGTTTCTTCCCAATTCACAATATCTATTGTACATTTTGGATCTTATTTACTTGCTTGTATTTTACTAGTGAGACAATATGATGTTTACACATAGGGGTCCGATTTATTTCAC